ATGATTTATTTTATTTTATTTTATTTTATTTTATTTTATTTTATTTTATTTTATTTTATTTTATTTTATTTTATTTTATTTTATTTTATTTTATTTTATTTTTATTTTATTTTGTGGACGGGGTACAACAGCACACAGGTCAGAGGCATTCCTGGAATGGGTGGAGGGAGAAGATGCTGCAGGTATTTCTGCATCACCCCTGGCAGCATTCACACAACAGCAAGTGCGTGGCAAGCGGTGAAGACGAGGTGGCTACAAACATTTTGGTTTGCCTGGAAAATTTGCATGCAGGGAAGGCTCTTGCACCTCTCACACTTTGTTTTTCCCTCACTTGCCAGGGCTCTGAGCAAGTCTTTGAGCCCATTCTTAGTGGGCATTGATCCCTTTGTGGTTTCCCAAGGTGCCAGCATGACACGGAGCCTCTGTGAGCAAAGCTCTGAGGTGAGGAAGAGGCAGAGGTGAGGAAGATTTTGGTTTTCCCCAGGGATGACAGAGGCACCAAGGCAAGCCCTGTGTCAGACTGCACTTCCCTACTCCCACGCTCTGGAACTTCACAGCAAAGCTCAGCTGGGATTTTAGCAGCACATTTTTTCCCCTTAACCTCATGGCTGAGGTATTTTAATGGAAGTTTTCTCCCGGCAAAAAAGCTGCAATGTGCTCACATACCAGAAAATCTTAGCCCAGATCATTAACACTCAGTCAGACTGATCCTGCAAGGGGTCCATTGAGCTGTGGGGAATGTTTCACCTTCCCTGGGCTTCAGAAAAGGTTCCATCCCTGCAGCTGCCCCACGGCAGCAAACAGCAAAGGTAGAAAAGCTGCTGGACACCAGTAAAGCGTTGGTTTGGCCACTAAGACCTGTCCCAAAGTCTTGGAGCTGCACTTGTTCTTCAGGAATTCTCTTCACCGTCACCTGCTGACCACTCTGTCCCTTGGCAGGCTCCAGTCCCTTTCAAATCTCAGCAAAGCTGTCCCTCCTGTGCTCCCTGATTGTTTTTCTTCTCCCAGACAGCTCCTTGCTCTTTAATTCTGTTGCCTGGCAGTATTTTCAATCCCCTTGCTGTATTTCTTATCTGCGTGTCCATTCATTTCTGGGACTGGGATCAAACCCACCGTTCCCAGGTCAGAATTGCGATCTGCAGGAGCATTCCAGCATTCCTGGCAAGCTGCTGAGCCTTGGGAAGAGCTCCCTGAGCCAAACTGCTGATTTCCTCTGCTCTAGGAGCTACCAGGAGGAAAAGAACAGCACGTACTCCAAGGCAGCTTGGCTGCAGCAGCACAGAGAGGGACGGTCCCAAATCACCTCTCACACCCCAGGATCCAGGGCTCAGAGAAAACCTGAGTTAGCCCCGGTGCCACAGGGATGTGCAGTCCAGATTTGGGATGAGAAGAACGCTCTGGACTGGAAGCCCTCTAAGGGTTGTTTGTGCTCTTCCCTCCAGCCCCTGCTGGGGTCCTCCTGGTTTTTTGCATAATCTCCTCTGAATAAATTCAGTGTGTGAGTGGGGCCTTCTCCTTTTGCAGCTTTTGTCATGAGGATCTTTCTGTGCCTTCCTACCTTGTGGGCCCTCCCTCTCTTTTTGTATCCGAGCTGAGCCTTTGCTTTCCTCCCTTGTTTCTGCCTCTTAACTTTTCCTTCTCTTATTTTTAGCACTGCTGTTGTCCTGAGAAACATTTCAAGGAGTCAATTTTGCTTGAGGGGAGCTGTGAAAATTTAGGGTTAAAGCATATGTGAGGTCACACAAAAAGCAGTATTTGGACAAGAGTGATCTCCCTGCCTGGAAGCGTGGCTTTAAATGGTTGTTTCCATTTATTTCTGTGCTCCTCCTCACAAAGCTCTTTCTCTGAGGCCCTGATCCTGCTGCCACAGTGACCTTTGTGTTTGCAGAGACCTTTTGAAATCAAAGGGGCCCTTCAGCAGCATCTGCCCATCTGGAAATGATCACAGAACCGGGAAGGTGAAGGGCAGATTGGGGGTGTTTGGAGAGTGAGCTGCAGGCTCTGAGGTAACACAGGTCCCTCATTTCTGGGAGAGAGACTTTGAAGGTGTCCCAGTGACATCCTCAGAGGCAGGGATGCCTCCAGGGTGGTTCACACCAGACCTGTGGCACTGGGAACCTGAGGAATCACATCAATATCATCTGATTCACAGCAAGAACACATTCAGAAAACTCTGAGTGTATTTCATTGTGGCTGCCCCATCCCTGGAGGTGTTCAAGGCTGGCTTGGATGGAGCTCTGAGCAACCTGGGCTAGTGGAAGGTGTCCTTAAGATGAGGGTGGAACTTTATGTGATCTTTAAGGCCCCTTCCAACCCAAACCATTCCATGATTCCATGATCCCATGATTTCAGCTGGGCTTTGCCTGAACGCTGCCCTTCCTTCTCCTTTCCAGCTGCACTTTGCAGCCAGATGGGGACCCAGGGCAAAAAACAGAATGAGGAATGAGGGAGAGCCACGGAGCAGGCAGGAACAGAACCTCTCTCCAGGCTGCGGGAGATGGATCTGTGTGTGCGGGGCGGGGTTCTGGATGATGGATCCACGGGGCTGGGGCTCTGGATGATGGATCCACATACACAGCCAGGGCTCTGGATTATGGATCCGTGGGTTCAGGGCTCTGGGTGATGGATCAGTGCACACAGCCAGGGCTCGGGATGATGGATCCATGCACACAGCAGAGGCTCTGGATGATGGATCCATGCACACAGCCGGGGCTCGGCCGCCGCTCGCCGCTCCCCGCCCGTCCCGGCGCTGTTCCTTTAACGACGGGGCGGGCGCTGCTCGGCGGGGCCGTCCCGGGTCCAGGGGGGAAGTGACGGGCGGGGGGCGCGGGCAGAGCCGGCGCGGGGAGGGAGGGAGGGAGGGACGGAGCGAGCGGGCTCTGAATGAGCCGGGCGAGCGAGCCACCCCCGCGGGGCCGGGGGCGCGGCGGGGCCGCCTTCCCCCGCCGCCTTCCGCGCTCCGCCCGCGCCCCCCGCCCCATGCGCGCCCTGCCCTGAGCCCGGGGCTCGGGGGGATGCGCGGCCCGGGGCCGCGGCTGCCGGCGCTGCCCGCGCTGCTGTGGCTGGCGCTGGCCCCGCTGCCCGGCCCCGCGGCGCGGGCAGAGCTGCGGGTGCGGGTGCGGCTGCCCGGCGGGCAGGTGACGGAGGAGAGCCTGCAGGCCGACAGCGGGGCCGACTGCGTCAGCCTGGAGCTAAGGGCGGCCGACGGCGCCCTCGTCACGCTCACGGCGGATTTCAGACAGGTACGGGGCGGGGGAGAGCATCCCCGGGGGTTCGGGCAGGGAGCGAGCTGGGGAGAGCATCCCCGGAGTGTTCAGACCGGTACGGAGCGGGAAGAGCATCCCCGGGGGTTTGGGCATGGGTGGAGCAAGGGGAGCATTCCCGGGGATTTCGGATAGGAACGGGACTGGGAGAGCATCTCCGGGGGTTTCGGATAGGAACGGGACTGGAAGAGCATCTCCCGGGGTTTCGGATAGGAACGAGAGCATCCCCCGGTGCCGCGGGGTCCCGCCGCGATTCCCGGCGGGGCTGGAGGAGGGTGAAGGCTGCGGGATGGGAGCGCTGGCCCCTGGCACCTCGCGGGAGGATCTGGTCAGGGCTCTTTGTGCACTCTGTACGTGTGGGGTGAGCGCTGAGGGTGGCGATCCTTCCCGTCCTCCTTCCAGACCCGAGTCCATCCCAACTCGGAAGCTGGAGAATCCTTTCTGCGGGTCCCGGAGCCAGATTTCAGAGGCATGGAAGGAACGCACAAGGAAAAGTCCATCCATCCTCTCGCACCGTCCGGGGCTTTGCCCAAGCTCTCCGGCACAGCTCCAGGACAGCTCACCAGGCTGGCTGTCCCCACCGGTGTCCCACCTGTGCCTCCAGGCTGGAAACAGCTGCTACAGGATCCCAGCGGGGCTGGACAGCCGTTTCCCAGCTGAGGCAGCTCTGATGCTCCTGGCTGAGCTGTGAGCAGCACGGTTTTGCACAGCTCCTCTCAGTTTGGCGAGGCAGGCTCAGCACAGCCAGGCACGGAGCGGGGTCAGGGCAGGAGAGGCTGGGCTGGGGAGATTTCGGGCTCCTGGCTCCGGTGTGGGGCTGTCCACGCCCTGCTGTGGCTCTGGGATAGCTCTCTCGGATGCCGTGGGGTACAGTTAATCCCTTAGGTGGGATCCTGCTCGTGTGGGGTGTGTTTGAGGGGCAGCGGGGTTTGAGTGACCCCAGCCCTGCTGTACACTGCCCGCAGTGCAGGGAGCTGATGCTGCTGAGCTGAAGCCCCAAATCCCACAGATCCCGTGGGCATGGAGATGTCAGTCCTGGCTGGATGCAGGGAACTTCCCGCTGCCCAGGGAAGAGCAGTTTGCCCAGGGTGGCACGGTGGTGTTATCTCATTCCAACCCCTCATCCCGGCTGTTTGCTCAGGTGGACTTTGCTTTGCAGAGGAGGAAGCCCAGAGCCATGAGCTGGGAAGGTGTTGTGTCCCAGCCTGCTGTGAACCTTGGAGCCTTTTTGCCAGGAATTGTTCTGGTGCCTCTTCCCCATTTAATCTCAGCCAGCCAGCCCCTCAGATGTCCCTTTTCCTCTCTGAGGTGCCAGCAGAAGCCGTGGTGATTTTGGAAGTGGTGGCATGTTTCAAATACTCCAGCACACGTGCAGGGAAGCAGCCCTGTGACTCCTATTAAAGAAAACATTAAATAATTGCAAACTTGCACATTCCCAGGCGAGGGAAATCCAAACTCACTCTAGGCAGGTCCTTTGGGAACCTGGGACATGACCTGTGCTGAGCTGGTGATTTTTTTCAGCATTTTCCACTTGCTTCAGCTCTTCCTGAGAGCTCAGAGCTCACCCACAAACCCGACTGAGTGTGTGTTACATCTTCTCTCCCTCCCATCCTTATTAGAGCTGAGTTTCTTCTGGGTTGGGGTTCTCTGGAGGTGTTTTGAGTCCATAGATTAAATCCTGAGCTCCACAGCCCCTGCTGGAAGTGATGGTCCCTGGAGGGCTTTGCAAGCATCCGGCTTGCAGAAGTGCATTCCCGATCCTCAGTTTTAGGGCAGCTGGGGCCTGACTCTCTCTGCTCCATGGATTTGCTGGAAAATAGGTGGGAAAAGCCAGGGAACCAGAAAGGAGCAGGGAGCTAGCTGGCTTTGTGGTGAGGTGAGTAATGTGTGAGCAGGCAGCAGCCTGGCCGGGCTTCCCCCTCTGACCTGCCCCAGCTGCACCCACACAGTTCCCTGCTCTGCCCTGCTGCTCCTCTCCCCGAAATTACACAACACTGAAGGTCGTGGGGTTCTGAGTGTTCCCAAGAGCAGCTGGGGTTGTTGATCTGCTGCTCTTGAGCCTGATGATGTGGCCAGGATGCTAGGGTTTTTTCCACAAATGATTTTTCCACTCCTCTGGCTCAAACTGCAGGGGGTTTGTCCAAAATCAGGGGTTTATTTACTATTTTTTTTTATTATTTTTTTCTTTTTTCTCTGCTGGCAATTTGTGGTTGCCAGACCAGGGGCTGGAGAAGAAAGGAGCTAAATGAGATCATTGTTCGTTGCTTTGCTCTGACACTGGTGGGACTTGAGCAGTGCCTGGGGCTTCCACAGGGAATTTCATTGCTCTTCCATCCCTGCCTTCCCTCCAGAGCTGGACCTGGGGGAGCTGTGTCCTCAGAGCACACCAGGTTATATTTCCTCTTCGGTGCAGCACAAACTGCTCAGTGCCAGTTCAAACTGGGACTCGGTGTTTCTTGGGCAGAGCAGGGGTGACCCTTTCTTTTCTTGTAGTTTGAAAGAAGGGAATGAAAACTCTTCTTTTTCTGTGCTCAGGCATAAAATGTATTGCAAAAAAAAATAATGAGGGGGCTCAGCAAGCCTGAATGTTGGGTCTGATCGGAAGGGAGAGATGTTGCCAGTTGTTAAACACGGCCTGAGAACAAAGTGGGTGGGTTTATTTCAAGGTCAGCACAAAGATAGAGAGAAATTTCTCTTCCCTTTTGATTGCTGGAAAAGTTGGGCTTGGAAACACAAGGCAGGAAGTAGTGTTTTAACCCTTGTACTGCCAGTCCTTTCGGTGTTGATGCAGCTGGATAAAACATTGTGTGGTGTTTTGGGGGGGGTGGTGTCAGAATTTCCTCATGCCACGTGTTAGGTGACAAATCACCAGGTGACACAGGAAAGCGTCTGACCCCAGATTTTATCTGTGTGGTTTGGAGAGCAGATTCTTCTCAGAACAGATACCAAGCGTAGGAAATGAGGGACATTCAGGAGTCTTTGGGAGGGCTCATTAAAACTCATTAAAACTTACTTAGTGCTCAGAAAATGCTTTTTATTCCTCCTATCCCAGCAGATCCTTGATTTGCCTTTATAGATACCCGAATATAAGAAGCAGCACAGCCAAATTCTCCATCCCAGCCATTTCCAGAGACAGAGGGGTTAAAAACTATAATCCCCACCCATTCAGAGGAGCTCAGCTGGCTGGACCTCCAGTGTGGATGCAACACCAAGTTCCCTGTGCTGTGCAAACTGATGGAATTCTGGCCAGCTGTGCTCATTCCCCGGGGCAAAGGCTGCTGACAGAGTGCAGAATTGGGCCCAGCAGTGCTGGTGTCACCCCATGTCCCCAGCAGCACATTCTCCTGTGCCACTGCAAAGACAAAACCGGGTCCCCACAGCAGCACTGATGTCCTTAGGGGAGAGAAATTTGGCAGGAGAGCTGAATGGGCTGCAGGGAGGAAGGCACTGAAATGATTTATTTCCCTGGGAACTGGTTTGCTCCACTCAGCGTTGGAAACGTTGCTGGGCTGGGAGCTGGACCACACAGGCTTGTAAATCCCTGCTGGAATAAACCCCAGCCAGGGGGGCTGAGCTGCTCTCACCCCCCAGATGACAGCCTCTGGCTGAGGACAGGGTGAGGAGGGAAGAAGTTGGATGATTTCCCTGCTCCTCTTTGGAAATGCCTTTGGTAGGGACGGGCAGCCCCGGGATTTTGAGAGCTGGGAACGCTGATTTTGTGCTGCCATGAGGAGCTGCTGTGGCCTTGCTGCAGGGCTGGTTGTTCCCTGGAGTGTTTGTCACCCAAAGGCAAAGCCCAGCTGTCACTGCTCCCACTCAGGGCTGAGGATTCCCCACGCCCCCGGCCTGAGTTCATCCAGAGAGTCCCCGCTCTGCTCTGCTCTGCTGGGACTTGTTCCCTGCTGGGAAATTCTGCAGGAAGCCAGAGGTAAAGGTGCTGTTTGCTGCCTTGGCTGGGAACCCACCTTGGCGCTGATCCACTGCTTTTCCTGCCGGGAAGGAGGTGAGGAGGCCGGGCAGGGGAAGGTGCTCTCCGAGGGGGAGAAGTTTTGGTGCCTCTTGCCCTGTGGGATCTTTTCTAAGCAGCATGGTTTGGTTCCTGCTCCACCTGGGGTTGCTGGAGAGCTGGGTCAAAGCCAAGCAAGAGCAAGGATTTGGGATGGAGCAGGGAAGAGAAGAATCTGATTTTGCTCAGGACAGAGTGGTCGCTGCAAGGTCCACTTTGGTTTTGCTCGGAGGTAAAGGTGGGATTTCTCCCCTCAGGACAACTCGTGCTACAGGAGCCAGATCCTTGAAAAAACAGCTTTTTAAAATCTATTTCAGTGCTGGCAACCCAGCCCATTCCTGCCTGTCTCAGTGCATCTCCCTTGGTGTCAACAAATGCTCTGGAAATCCCTGGCACCTGGAGTTTGGGCACAGGGAGTTGTGAATTCCTTGTCTGCATCAGCCCTGAGGAGGAAAGGGCCGGCTGGCTGAAGGCTAATTCTTAAACAGACGGATCAGGAGGATTAATCAGCTGCTCAGCGCGTTCTCATTTTACAAAAATTGCCTCCAACCTGGGAAGTGCTGCACTGTTTTTAATCTCCTCCTGCCTGTGGAGGAGATTTCGCCCTGAATGCAAAACGTGGCTATCCCTGCTTGCTTTTCCCAGACTGTTCAAAGGGAATTAGAATTAAATCTGCAGCTGAGGAATATGCCAGAGTCAGTTCCTGGTTTTAGTCTGCTCATCCATGGGCCCTGCATGCTGTGGGAGCTCCCAGCTGGAAGCTGGAAGGCAGCTGGACCAAATGTGGATGGGGAATGTGTGTTGTTCCAGTGGTGCCAGTGCCTCAGTGGGACATCTCCCCATTAAATCTCTCTCTCTCAAAAAAAAGGTAATGATTCCATAGCAATTTCACAAGGATTTTTGGAGTCTCTTTTTTCTCAAGCCTCCTCCATGCCTTGCTCCTTGTTGTACAATCAACAATTGCACCAGCAAGATGATTTCTCCCATCCTGGTGGTGGGAATGCTATTCTTGCAGCTGTCCAGATGTGCACGGAATGGCATTCCCGTTTTCCTTCTGGCCACGGAAGAGAAGGCAGGAAATAAATAGTGGGCTCTGTGAGCTCAGGAAAGCTCAGCTGGGAAAGAGAAATGTTCCTTTCTGGGGCAGAGAGAGGCAAGGAGCAGCTCAGGAGGAGAGGGGTCTCTCTCACAGCTCTGCCTGCTGCTCTCCTGCCACCAGGAGCTGCCCAGCTCTCTGGGGAGAGGTTTGGCTGCAGGAGGTGCCAAAGGCTGGGATTGCTCTCCCTGTTCCAGTCCTGCTTAACCCTTGGAGTGGGATGGGCTGGCACCGAGGGGTGGCGGATTCCCACAGAGGAATCTGCCCCAGAAGCCAGAGGCAGGGATTGATCCCTGCAAGAATTCAGGGTTTGGTGCCAGAGCAGGACACAGGGAGGCTTTGCTGTTGACCAAGGAATTCTGTGACTCTACATGAAGTAACTGTGACTGATTTCCAAGCCAGTTCTGGAAAGGACTGTGATCCATGTCATATAAAATGACAAAATTAGTGACCTGGACAGAAAAGGAAGTCAGCTGCAGCTGATCATAATGGCTCCTTCTGCCTTTAACAATTTCATTTTCACTTCTGTTCCACACCTTCAGGGATGAGTAACTTTTTCTCCACTATGCCACTTGTCAAGAAGCGAGGGAAGGCAGCAGAGGAAATCTGGGGCTGCTTACTCAGTAAGGCATGAAGATAATGGCTGTGTGATATTTGCTCAAGAAAACCAAACGAGGCTCCTTGGAGCTCTGCTTCCCTTCTTGGGAAAGCACAGAAACCCTCAGCTGTTGGATGTGGGATGTGAGCTGGCAGCAATTTGTCGTTGCCACAGTGGGACTGTGAAAAACCCTTCCATTCTCTGCAGGCACCAGGGATTCTGCTGCAGGCTTTGGGGTGGCACTGGAGCTGGGATCACACTCCTGTGCTCAGGCAGCACAAGTATGAGACCTTTGGCTTTGTTTCTGGGCTGGAGCCTTTCTCTTTGACCCCAACCTCTCAATTCACCTCACTGATGCCAAAGATTTGCAGCTCTCACTCTTGTTATTTCTCTCTGTGTCAGGAGGTGAAGATCTTCCGTGCCTTAATCCTCGGGGAGCTGGAGAGGGGCCAGAGCCAGTTCCAGGCTCTCTGCTTTGTGACCCGGCTGCACCGCAACGAGATCATCCCCAGCGAGTCCATGGCAAAGCTGCGGCAGGTACGGGATCCATCCTCCCATCCAGCCAGGAATTCTCAGTTATCCTGCCTGGATTCCCATTCCCAGGCAGCTGCCTGGCTGCTCAGCTCTTCAACCCACCTCTGACCACCCCTCCTGCTTGAGGGATTTGGTGTGAAACTGAGTTCATCAGCGGTATTGATCCTGTTCTAGTAAAGCATTTGAGATTTAGTTGAGTCTCGTTTGTGTCGTGATTTAGTTCAGCCTAATTTGTGTCAGGAGTGGCTGTGAAAATCCCGGCCCAAATGAAGCCAGTGCTGATCTGGGACCATTTATCAGGACAAAACATGGAGAAACCACCACAGGCAGTGGTAAAATGTGGTGGTTTCAGTATCAACAGGTTATTTTAAAGTGCCTCTCACCCAGGCAGGGTGCAGGTGCACATCTGTTCTCACATCTGCTGTTGGCACCATATCACAATGTGCTGTAAGGAATAAGATGCACCCAGGATTGAAGTTCTGATGATTTCCTCTGCAGAAAAACCCCCGGACAGTGAGGCAGGCAGAGGAGGTGCGAGGTCTGGAGCATCTCAGCATGGACGTGGCTGTGAACTTCAGCAAGGCAGCCCAGCTGAGCTCCCACATCCACAACGTGTGCGCAGAGGCCAGGGAGGCCATTTACACCCGCGAGGAGGATGTCAAGTTCTGGCTGGAGAAAGGTGAGTTCCCTGCTCCTGTCAGTGGGCTGGCATGGTGCTGGGATTTCTCCTGCCGGGTTTCTGGGGATCAGCACTGACTGTTTTGGCTCTGAGGCACGTGTGTCACCCTGCAGAAGTGTGTGTTAGCAGATCTCTTTCCTCCTGCTGGCGCTCCCCCAGTGAACCTAATTTGGGATTTAACCTTTCACCTGCTCCACCGCCCAGAGGAAAGATGTTGGCTTTGTGTCTTCTGGCTTACTCTCCCCCGGGGCCTTTTGTTCTCCTGTGGCTCCTATTCAGGTTTAAGTCCCTAGAGATGCTCTGTCCAACCTCCTCCTTGACCTGGGGACTGTGCAGAGATACCAGAGTATCTTTGGTGGCTGTTTCCTTTGGCTTTATCTCATGGCAGCACCCTGAGGGATGTCTGCTCGAGGTGCTGGACCTTGCTTTCCTTTTGTTCTCCTGTGTTTCCCATTCAGATTTAAATCCTTGGAAGCCTCTCTCCAGCCTGTTCCTCAGCTGGGGGCTGTGTGGGGATAGCATTGCTGGCTTTGGTGGCTCTCCCCTCTGGCTGCTCCACCCTGAGCTGTCTGTGCTTGTTCCCACAGGGGTGGGCAGCTCCACGTTTGAGGTACTGCCACAGGGCTCTGCTGGACCTTGTTTTCCTCGGGCTTTTGTATTTCTCCTGCGGTTCCCATTCAGATTTGAGCGCCAACAGCCCCTGGAAAAGCTCTGTCCATCCTCCTCCTCAGCCTGGGGGCCGTGTGGGGTCGGTTTTGGTGGCTCTCTCCTTTGTCTTCCCTCGGTGCCGAGCTGTGTCTGTGCTTGCTCCCGCAGGGGTGGACGGCTCCATGTTCGAGGTGCTGCCGCAGGGCTCGGACCTGCCGGAGCTGCAGCGCTGCCGGCTGTGCCTGGACCGCTGGAAGCCCTGCATCTGCAGCTACTCGCTGAGCATCGAGTGGTACCCCTGCATGCTCAAGTACTGCAGGAGCCGCGACGCCGGCGGCAAGGTGTCCTCCTACAAGTGCGGCATCCGCAGCTGCCAGAAGGGCTACACCTTCGACTACTACGTGCCTCAAAAGCAGCTCTGCCTCTGGGATGAGGAAACCTAGAGCCAGGCCAGACTTCCCAGGGGTGGCTCCTCTGCCCCGGCAGGGGGCTGGCTGCTCCGAAGAAGGAATGCTGTTCACAGTGGTGCCTTGTGCTCTGTGTGTGTGCCTTTCCTCCTGTGACGCTGCCCCGTGCTGTGACAAGCAGGCTCAGCTGGCAGGGTGATGATGCTCTGGCTCCCTGGAGCAGGAGATGCAAGTTTTGGGGTGAAGCACAGGGAAAGGGGTGTGCTGCCCTGCTCTGGAGCTCAAAGGGGCGCTTTCCAGCCTCGAGCTGAGCGGGCAGGGCAAGGATCTTGCTGACCTGGGTTGCCAAACATGTCTGCCACTGAAGAACCCCCTTTTCTGCCTTCACCACCTCCTGGTGACACAACCACGGGGAAACAGCTGAATTTTGGGACCACACCCCCTGAAGGAAGGTTTGAAGCCCACCCAAAGCAAGAGCCTGCCTGTAGCTTTTCCTAGTGCCTGACTGGCTGTTATATCCCCCCGTGGATGGAAGATACACTGGGGGATATAGCCCAGCATCCTGTGCCCTTAAAGGGCTGGTAATTAGGGCTTGAATTAATCCCTATCTAGACTAGTGAAGGCCCAACTTTTTGTGTTGGTCTTGTGACTGTTCCACTAAGAAAGAAACATCTAGAGACTCATGACTACCAGCCTGACCCTGTGGTTGCAGGGGGAGAGGAGGATGCCAGGTGGGTTTTGAAGAAGACAGGATTCTACATCCACGTCCAGTTTTACGTCCTGCTCTGCCAGCTATTCACAAGAAGCTCTTAAATAACTGTACTGCTTTGCTGTGCCTTGGTTCCCCCCATATGTTAAACAAGGATGACACTGAAGTTGTCCTTGGCTCTGGAATATTCCTGGAGGGATCAGACAAAAAGCGCTGGAAGTGCTGCTTGGTTCTGTGTCCTCTTCCACTCAAATTAGGACAAGCACAGAGGGGAGAGAAGCTCTTGGGGTCTTTAGGAACCTCCTGTGCCTCCTGGTGAAAAGCCTTCACAATGTGCCTTTTTGCCTAAAATACAGGAATTTTTGTGAAAGAGGAAAAAAAAAATTAGGTCACAATTATTTTTGTATCAATCACTTAAGGGGGTGGGGGGAGAAGGGAAAGGTATTTTAATATTGGAACATGAAGTAAAACACACTTGAAATGAATTTTTTTTAAACAAATTATTTATCATTTGTAAGGTAAAATAAACTGATTTTTTAAAGCATCCTTGGCCTAGAAGTTTCTCTGTGCCTGATACTCTGTGTGTGAATTCAGGTTTGTTCCTTTATGGGTAAGTCTCAAACCTGCCCCTGGTGAAGAGCCATGGATTTGGGGAGAACATCCAGGAATTTTTGACTCAGCATTGTGATGCTGCACCTCAAACACCCCATCCTTCCAGCCCCTCTGTGGGGAGACAGGTTTGGCTCATCCCAGGCAGTTGTGGGAGCTTTGAGCTCGAGCTGTGCTGGATAAACCCATCAGTACAAGCAGGGGCTGGGGGCTGCTCCTCTCGCCCAGTGGTCCCTGAGTGCGGTGAAATATTCCTGCTGAATTCCCGTGCAGCTCCAGCTGGTGAGGGCGGCACTTTGGGGCCAGCCCAGAGCTGCCGGTGGCTGCTGGAGGGAGAAACGTGGAGCTCTGATTCCCTCTAGTGTGGAGAATGCAGGGATGGGGCGAGCGCTTCCAGCATTTCTCCGCCTCGCCCGCCAACAATTCACCCTTTTCCGGGGAAGGGGGAACGGGGATTTGTTCTCAGCTGTCCCGGCTCCTGCTGCAGCGGGACACGGTGGGTTTTTGTCCCTGTTACTGGGGTTAAACCCAGCTCTGGGGCAGGTGGGCTGTGAGCAGGATGGGGTTGGATCCCAGGGCCTGCAGCCCATTCCCAGTGCTGCCGCCTGCACAGGGATGTTGGGATGGCCACGGGCTCGCTCTGGACACATCCCAGCGAGCCTCCACGGGTTTGGTTTGTAATTCCGAGGCTCTGGAGTGGCCGGTGCAGTTCCCCGGCCTCCAGCAGTAGGTGCTGGCGGAGCGCGGCTGTGCCCGGCCGGGCTCGGGATGTCGGGATGATGTCGGGATGATGTCGGGATGATGTCGGGATGCCAGGACAGGGATGCTCGTGGTCCAGTCCATCCCTGCAGGATCACACCACGTCCCCAGCCCTGCCGGAGGAGAACACTGGGGATTTTTGTAGCGTCTCCCTGCAGTTTGTGCTTGCAGGTCCCATCCCAGGGCCGTCTCCCGTAAATCAGAGCTCTGCCTGCAGAGCTCATCTCCCTCCAAGAGGGGAAGGAACCTCGGCAGCTGGAGAGGAAGAACGCGGTGCCTGCAGTGAGGGAGGAGAGTCCAAAAAAAGCCAAAACAGCGCGTTTGGTGGTGTCTGGGAGTGATTTTAGCAGTGATCAGAGTAAAACCAATCCTGCCTTGCCTGATAATCTCATTTTCACAGCAGAAAGAAGTGGTGATGCTCTCATCCATCATCCATGTTTTTCAAAAGTGTTCTCTCCTGCACATCAACAAAGCTCAGGGCACCCACGGGGATGGGCTTGGCTGGCGCAGCTATTTGGTGAGAAAACCACCTAAATATTCAATTTTTCCCGCGGGTTCGTTGAGCACAAAATAACAGCCAGAAAAAAAAGCCATTCCCAGCTGTGTCTGGGGCCAGGAGAGGGCACTGGTGCCCTGCCCGTGGCCGGGACAGCATCCCTGCCCAGAGGATGCCCGGGATTCCTGTCCGGCTGGAGATGCCAGCCGGCAGAGCCGCCTTCCTGGTCGGCTCTGGAGTACGGGAAACGTGCCAGGAGGAGCAGAGAGAGCCGAGAAACTCCTGCTTGGTGAACAAAAGGTGCTCTAATGTGGGGGAAGGAGAGCTCCCGTGGTCGCCAGCCTCTCAAGCTGGCTGGGAGCCACCAGCAAATAAATTCCCGTTTGACGCAGTGAAGGCATCTGATCACGTCAGCCTTCAGGATGGGGAAAACCCAGAGAAAAACACTCGAAAAGAGGGCGGCAGCTGCCCAGGAACGCCTCAGGGCTCAGGGCCTGAGTGGCTGGACGGGCAGGAGTCCAGCCCCTCCAGGAGCTCCACGGGAGCTGCCCCTGCCAAGCACCCGGTGCTGGTGCCACCTCACCGCTTCCTGAAGGCTGAAATCGCCCCATCCCTGGAAATAAATGTCAGTCTGACCCGAGAACCCCCAGCTTCCCTCCACTTTTTCTATTTATGAGTTTCCTTGAGCTCCTCCGCCCTCTCCTGCCGTGTCCCGGGGATGTCCCCCCTGCCCATGCCGCGGGCAGCTCCAGCCCCAGCGCTCCGGACTGGGTTGGAGGTGAGGCTGGAGATCCTGCCCGCCCACCCATCCCTTCGGAGAAACCTGTCTTTCCAGGGAGGGAGAGCGGCATGTGGGAAAGCCGAGAGCCCTGGAACGTGAATTACCCAGGGAGAGATGAATGTGTGATAGCTCGTACCTGGCAGCTACTAATTGAGCGTTAACGCTTTCAGCAGGGCTCGGAGCGGCGCTGGAGCTCGGCCCTGTCACACGGGTGTCCCCAGGGCTGCTGGGGTCACCAGGGTGGCACATGGCAGGGACAGGGAGCAGCAGCCCGGCTCCGTCGGGGTGGCTCGGTCCCTGTCACAGCACGGAGTGTGGGCTGAGGCTCTGGCCTCTGGCCGCTTTCTGCAGAAGCCAGCGTTAGGGGATTTTTTTCTTGCCTGGCTTCCCTGGAAGTTGGTAAATACTGCAGCTTGGAACAGCAGGCATGAGGAGGAAGAGGCTGGCTGTCACTTCTCTCCTTAGGGGACAGAGGTGAAGCAGGGTGTCCGTGTGCCAGCCCTGACCCTGCTCTTTGTCGCCAGCCAAGACAGGTTCCTTGGATGCTTTTCACTTTCCTTTTGGCGCTGTTTCGTTCCGCACCGAGGTTCAGCTCAGACGGAGAGGACACAGCCCCAGGGCCACGAGGGTTATCGGGGCGACCCAAACGCGTCCTTCCATCACCCCAACACCTTCCCTGGGGGTGCTGCCCGGCCGGAGCTGCTCAGGGCCGAAAGGGGGGACAGCGGGGCTTCGGGGCAGGTGCTGCGGGTGCTGCCCGAGCGGGGCCGAGGGCGGGCGGAGCGCAGCGCCTTCCTTCCTGCCCTCCTTCCCACCCCACCCCGCAGCCTGGCAGCGCTGCAGGGACTCATCCATTCCCGAGTTACTAATATGCAAATGGCAGCGTTTGCATGGGCCTGACGCCAAGCTGCTGGGTGTCAGGGCACCCGAGGGAGCCGGAGGTGGGGCGAGGCGTGGCACCGCGCCGCATGCTCACCTGGCCCTGCATGGCAACAGGCAATGGAGCTCTAGGTCCCTTCGGCAGCGGACCCACGGCCGCTTCGAGAGGCAGCGGGTGGCAGAGGAGGGAGGGCAAACTGGCAGCCCCTGGCAACCTGGGGCTGACGGCAGGAGGCTGGGCACACCGCGGATTTCCCCCCGCCGGCAGGATGGTGAACCTGGAGTCCGTGCACGCAGGTAAAGGGCACGGAGCGCACCGCGGAGCCGGGGCCGTGGGCTCGGCCAGGAAATGGGGCTTGCTCTGATTGCCGTGACCTTTCCCCACTCCTTTCCCTCCTCTTTTCTCCCGCTGGGGCGCCTGGTGAAGTGCCCGCATTCCTGCCGGGGGATGGATGCTGCCCTGATCTGTTTTGGGGGCTGCCAAGCCGTGCCCACAATGTGGGAGCAGCGCTGCCTCTGCCAGCCCCAGCCGGGCTCAGGGAGAGCGGGTGCCTGGAAAATGAGTGTTTAGTGCCTGACCTGTGCGTCCTGTCATTGGGATAAAGCTGGGAGGAGGGAGAAGGGATAAATCCACGGAAGGATGCGGCAAGGGTGGAGGGAGGTGTGTGAGAGAGAGATGGGACACGGGCTGAAAGGAGAAAAGTTGGCGACAAAGAGGGAAAAGGAGGGAGAAATGAATGAGGAGGGAGCTGAGGGAGGCTGGGTTGAGTCAGGAATGAATGAACAGCGATACTCGGGAACTCCTTCCAGGGGTCTGATCCAGAGGTGCAGCTCAGGGGCTCTCACACCCCCTCCGAGCAGCCCCCCGGAACCAGAGCAATCCCTGCCAAATCCCCTGGAGCCGTGCTGAGCCCCGGCTCACCCTGCCCGAGCTGCCTGGGCTCAGCCCAGGGGCAGGAGCACATCGGTGGGTGACGCTGGAACTGGAGCAGGGTGCTGGCAGCCAGATCCCGACAGCCGTGTCCTGGCAGTGGGATTTTGGGATACAGGAGCCACGTGCCCCGTTAGTGACTTTTGTCCTGGGCTTTGTGTGGCACAAAACGCTCTGCTGGAGGGGAGGATGCATCCATCAGTCTGTGCCGGGCTCATTCCCTGGGATAGCCCTGTGGGAGCCCTGCTGGTCAGGGGACGCCTGGGGGCTGGTAGCCCCTCCACAAGCCCTGAGTGCCCGTGGGCTCGCAGACAGGCCTGCAGGGCAAGGTGCAGCAATGGCACCACCTCACCCGGTGTCAGCGGCACGGGTGGGCAAAGCCTTTGCTCCACAGCTGTATCCCAACCTCTCCACGGCTCTGGGATGCCTCTGTGGCCAGCCTGAGTGGGCTGGGGAGCCCTGGCCACGAGGGGAGGAGGGAGGCTCGTGGTCTTGGCTCGGGGTGTGAGGACTGGTCGGAGCACCTGCTCTGGGTGTGCTTGTGTTGGTGTCTCTTGGGGACGCGTCCCCCGCAGGCTCCAATCCACCCATCCACCCATCTGCCGGGCTTGTGGGCGACTCTTTCTTCATGAGAAGATTCCCCAGATCGATACTGTGCCCTCTGTCAGAGGCAGTGGCATCGCTCCCAGGCTGGATTTGGAGCTGTGGGTGCACGCAGCACTTCCACTCCCCTGAACCATCCCCTCGTGCTGTCAGAAAGGCCGGAGCTTTAAGGAGTCTCTTTGCAGGGAAAGGAGCCCAGCACAGGTGGGAGGGGTTTTTTTTACCCCTGTACAACATCTGTTCAGTTTTGGGGTCCCTGAGCAGCTTTGAGGCCCCTCTGTAACAAGCTGCTAGCAGAGCTGTGCTCAGCTTTAACCCCAGCCTTTGTCTTGGAGGTCTTTTCCAACTTTGATGATTTTAGGAGAAGACACAGCCCCCAGGGGGGCTGCCCAGGCTCCACACACTCTCGTCTTTGCTGAGACACTTCCCTGGTGGCTGCCACCACCCCCTCCCCGGGCATTTTGGATATTTCACCTCCCTGCAGCCTCCAGAGGGGCTCAGGCACCTAAATCCCAGAACGCTCCAGGTGATGCTCCCCGCCAAGCCAAGCTCCCCCCTCCTCCACGATCGGATTCCACTTTGAAAGCCATCAGGCTGGTTCACCCTTCGCCCATGCCTGAACAGCTACGGGGAATGAGGGCTTGGGAAAGGCTTTATTTGCTGACACCGTTTGTTTCGGCAAAAATAGAGATGCAGATATATCCCCGGAGAAGTGTCTGCACTGGCAGAGCTCCTTTGGTCTGGCTGAACCACCCAGCCTGCCCCTACCCCAGCTCTGTTTGGGAGCTGGGGCAGAGCAGCACATTTTTAATATGGCCCAGGCCGCAGTGGCGGCTCCTAATAGGGCTGTGGTTAAGAGTTAGGCAGTCTTAAGCCGGGTTATTTTTCCCAGAGAGGTTTTTGGTTGTTTTTCTTTCCAAGCTTGATTGTCCTGTGTGTATTGCTAAGCTGGCAAAGCTGTGTGGAAGGAGCTGGACTCGCAGCCTGCCCTGTCTGAAGGTGTTTTTAAGGATGGAGCAGGGGTCAAAGCTGGGTTTGCATTGAGTGTCCATGAAAAGGTGTTGGCTACATTTAGATTAGGAAGTAATTGCTCTGTGTGTCTGCTCCTTGTTCCCAAGGATCCCTTGGAGGGTGCTGGTGCTGCACTGCTGTCTGCAGGGATACAACATCTGCCCTAAACCTTAAACCTCTCAGATCAGCAGGCAGAGTTTTCCTTTTCTTCCTGATTATTTTTCCTTTTTTGTTCTTTTTTCCCCCCCTACAAGACATTCAAACTGCAATAACTTGTGCACATCTCCAGAGGGATTTGAATCTCGCTGAAAATAAAATTCCTGTGCATGGGAATCCCAGGGCATCTCCTTATCTCCGGGCTGCAGGAGGAGGGGATTTACCTGGAGGATAACATGTGATATGCAATCAAATTGCAGCAGCAGCTCCTCCTTCCCTCCCCACCCAGCCCAGTTGTAATGGCAGAGGGGTGTGGGGGTCACTCCTGCAGGAGGGACAGAGCTTTTCAGGCTCTGCTTCTGTGTCTGCCCTTCCCCAGCTCAGTCTGAACTGTTCCAGCTCTCACTCTCCCAGGAATTAGATATTTTCTTTCCCCAATTTTATTTTTTTTTTTTTAAACAAGCTTTCAAGCTTTCTCACCAAAGCAAGCACCAAACTTCTGCAGGCTTTTAGATTTTTTTTTTCTTCCTCTATTTTATGAGAACTTGCCTTTTTTTTTTTTTAATACTTTTTGGCAGCCAGCAAAACTTTGTGCTTTGTAGATTGCCTAAGTTAGGGTCCCTTGGCAGTGGTACAAGACAAGAAGATGTTTATAGCTGATGGTAATTGCTCTTCCTGCAGTAGAAATGCTTAGAAGCCCCACTAAACGTTCATTTCTTAATTGCAGAGGGTTTATTTGAAGGGGAAAAAAAAAAAATCCCACAACTCTTTTCTCCCTCTTTTTCCCCCTTAATATAATTTAAGGAAAGGAAGTTTCTGATGTATGTGAAAGTTTCTGCGCTCTGGTATAAAATCCTGATTTTTTTTCTACCTTTATTCATTTGCTGGAGAAAGTTTCAGACTTTCAACTTGATCAAAGCTATGAAATCTTGGCCAAAAAACCAGATTATCTGCTGTTTGCACACGAGGGAAACTTTGAATATGGGAGAAGAAAACCCTCACACACACAAAGCCCTGCCTGTTTTGGTGTGAGCAAAAGAGGGAAATGGGGATAAAAATCCAGCGGGGCTGCTCTCATCCGTTTGGGAATAACAAAAGGTGGATATGGGGAAGAGGAAAAGGGTTTGCATGATGCTTTTAGGTGGCTTCCACCTGCCTTCCCTACCCCAGCAAAACCACAGCAAACACTGGCCCAGCTTCCCTGCTGTTGTTATTCCCCGATGCAAATGGGAAGAGTCTGTGGCCGGGATTGGCTGCAGGAAGCACATGCAAATCACTCCAATAATAAAAAATTATCTCATTTTTTACCTTTTCTTTTTCTTTTTTTTTTTTCCTCCCCTCCAACTAGTCTGGAAACAGTTAAAATTCCCATGGAAAGTGCGGAAAAGCTGAGGGGGTGTCCATCTGAATTTGAATAGATATCCCCCCTTCTCCCACCTCTGTGTCCTTGGCCTCTTTTAAGGAGGAGATGAGCAGCCCGGTGTGATGTTGACCATTCCCACCTTTCCTTGCAGCTGTCCCCGAAGGAGAAAGTGGCCCCGGGTGTGGTGGCAGTCATCACTTCAAGGGTAAATGACAAATTCCTTGGCATGGGTGAGGATGGGGGAGCTGGAGGGGTTGGGGACAACGCTTTGGGGCAAGGCAGCTTCTGGGGGGCTTGTGAGGGGTGTGAGCACCTGCATGGGACTGGGAAGAGCAGAAATAAAGTGCAGGTAGAGGCAGTGGGAAATGCAAGTTGAGTTTGAGCCATCTCGAAGGACAGGGAAGGGATCTGGGAGAAAGCTGGAGGGATCCCCAGGTGTGGGAGGATGTGTCACAGCCAGACCACCACGGCAGGTTTGGGAAGCCTGAGCGGGGCTGGGCAGCTCCCAGTGCTGAATCCACCCCTTTATCCCGTGGCTGAGGAAGGATGAGAAGGGTGAAAACCCCACAGCAAACTGGGGAGGGGGGACAGGAGTGAGGGGGCTGCAAAGAGCAACAGGAGGGAAAGTGCATCCTCAGAGCTGATGAATATTCTAGTGCCTGGATGTTGAGGAATCAGAAATTTGAAAGTCTGATGGTTTATTATAATTACACACATTCATTTGTGCTGTTTAGTGGAAGCCACATGTGCCTGTTGCCTGGGACTGTGACCTGTTATTAAAATCAGTTGTGCCTCCTTTTCCAGAGATCAAGATGAGCGGGGATGCGGCAGATTCCACAGATACCCGGCACGAACCTGACCAGGTGGAGCCAGGTAAGGAGGGCCTGGGGTGGCAGGGGCAGGAGAGGGAGGGGAAAGAAAAGAAAAATTAAGGGGAAAAAAAAAAAAAAATAAAAGGGAATGTGGGTGCTGGAAGTTTCTCCCCGTGCTTTTTTCTCGGCTCCTGTTGCTGCTCTTGCAGCCTGGGAGTTGATCAGGAATGCGCTCCGGGCTAGGATTGCGCTGGTATCTTGATCGGCGATGCAAGATCCCTCGTGTGTGACTGCAGCGAATCCCTGAGTGCCTCCCTGATGTCCTCAGTGGGTTTGACATGGAAATTAGCTCACGCCTCTGCCACAGCAGTCCTGCCTTTGGAACAGTCCTGGTGCACTCAGCTTAGCTCTGTATCACCCAGGGGCTGTGCCAGGAGCTTTTCCTTAGGGAAAACAGCATTTTTCGGGCTCTGTGTGTGTGGGGGGGAAATGGGAGGGACTTTGGGAATAACCAAATCCAGCTGAGGAGTTCCAGCAAGAAGGGATGGAGAGGAGTGGTTGGGTTTCTCACCTCACACCTGAGGCTGTGCAGGCTCCAGCTCCTCCACATCCCTCAGATCTGGAATGCTGAGGCCCAGGGTGATCCTTTGAAGATGACAGTGATGGTGGGAGCACTGATTTCTGCCAGGTTTGCCCACCACGAGGTGTAACAGGCACCCGAAAAATCAGGTTTGTGTTTTCAGGCTGCCTGAAGTGAGATTTGAATATAAGGCCTGAGCCCTGTAATTTCCCCAGGGGCCGTGGTCACATCCCTTTTTAGGCAAATGAGCAACAATAAGAAATCGTTTTAGCACCCACTAGGTACAGCAAATTGAGATTATTAAAAGCTGTGCCATAGGCTTACAAATCAACACCTTTCAAAACAACAACTGGCGGAGAAAATGTAGAAGAATCAAATATTCTCTGAGTAACCAAGAGCCCTAAGCTTGGGCCAAGGGGATGTGTAAGAGCAGGAGAAAACTTTGCAAGGAATTATAAAATTTGAGATAACTTAGGAAAAAAAAAAAGATATTTTGGGTAAGCAATAGAATTCCAGGTTTTAAAGGGACTAACCCCACCCCTTGATTTAGAAATCCTCTGTGCCCTTGGCTGTTAAGATGGGTTATTTGACATAATCTAAAATAGAGATAAAATCTGCTTCTATTCACATCCGTGAACTCTGATTGACTTTGGCCAGCTCAGCTCCTGCTTGGGGCTCTCAAATCACCCCAAGTTGGAGTTTGGGATAAACGAGCAACAAAACACATCCCCAACCCAAATCTCCTCCAAAACACCCTGGGAGCTGTTACAGGGCCTTAAATTGGGAACTGGAGCCCCCTGAAATATTTGGCGCTCATTGAGGGGTGGCAGGATTAATCAAGATTAAGGAAAATGGGGATTTAATTCTGGTATTGGCTGTTATTAAATGCAGTGGGAGGCTCTGGCTGCTGCTGCTGCTGTTGGAGTCAGAAGTGTTAAAGCAGAAGCTGGCAGCACGTTTGGTTGGATAAAATACGGGTTTTGGGGTTTTTTTTTTTCAGCTTAAGCATCCCAGACAGCCATTAGCGTGAGCTGCAGCGCCCCTTTTTAGTGGTAATTGAGAAGAGAAAGCAGAGCAGTGAAGTCAATTTGTTTGAAAATAACAAAAAATGTTCGCGGCAGCGTTCTCTCTCGGAGCCTTCAAATCAAGCAGGGAAATCAGGACGAGTAAATCGCCTTCATTTGCAAAGAGTGCCACAAAGAACATGTTTAAATCGCTTTTTAAATTATTTATTTTATTTTTTTTTTTCTGAGGCTGTCCCGTTGATTTTTTTTTGTCTGTCCGGGTTCTCCTGGGAAAGGTGACACTGTAAAGGGTTGGGAACTTCTTTGGGGGGTCCCCAGCAGCAATCACAGCCCCTCCTGAGGCTGCCAGCCTTGGGGACACCTTGTAGGACCCTGGGGGGTGGCATCACCCTCTCACTCACCTGTCCAAGGTGCAGCTCAGGGTTCCTCACCCAAACCCTCTCCGAGTTGTTTCCTCTCTTCTTTCAGCCCTTTCTGTTTATAAACAACAAAACTCTCTTTGTGCCGAGCTTCCCGGGAAGTTTTGGTGCTCCCCTGCACGCGTTGTTGGAGGAATATTTACTGCAGCTCCAAATAGCGGCGTGTTTTGGTTACCTGCTTCATGTGGGAAAGGGCTCCGTGTGTTTTCTGATGACTCATTAATTGAATTTCCCATTTCCTACTGAATCCACACGGCTCCCCAGGAAGCTCGTTCCCCCCCAAAGGAAGGAAAATTAACAATACTCTTACCATATTAACAATACCAGACCTAGAAATCCTCCTAGGTGCAGGTACCCAGAGGTTTCTCATCACCAAAAGATGCGGGCTGGCTCCAAGAACTTGGGAAAAGAAAAAAGGAGGGAATTAAGTATCAAAATCCTTTTGTAAACCGAGCCCTTGATCTAAAGCTGATGCCTAAAGATCTGATGGGAAGTGTCAGTAGCAGAAGCATAATCTCATCCTTTCATATCCCCGCCAATTCCAGGTTTAGAAGAGAGGAAAAAAAAACGGGGTAATTTGGGGCATTGTTTTACTTTGAAAGTGTTTGAAATAATTGTGGGGGGTTTTTCTTTTTTGAGAAAATTGTTAAAATCGTTCACTTTTCATAGGTAGTTTGGAGAGCTCAGTGCTTTTTTCTTTTTTTTTTTTTCCTTTTCATCCACACCAATTTCATAGAAAATGTTTCAGGGCTTTTAAAAAAAAATATATGTATTCTCCAGAAACTTGTGGTTTTTTGATCCCAAATCCCCCGGTTACAGTGAAATTATGCCATTTTACGAATTATTATTTAAAATATATATAATTTTTAAGGGTTCTCACTGCCAAGCCCTGTGAATATTAATCCTTCCTTTACTTCAGCTCTGAATTTTTTTAATCACGTGTGTGTTGGGGGGAACAGGCAGTTGCTCCCACGAGGGTTGGTTTGCCTTCCCCATCACCCCGGAGATGCGGGGCAGGCTGATCAGGGATCATCCCTTTGCTTTTAGGGCCCTTTTCCCCTTTCCCTGCGTGATTCCAAGCCTTGGCATCGTGGCCGGGCTCCCAGGCGAGCCTCCATGGGGGGTAATGAAGAGCAGCGAGTTTTCTGCTTGGCTCGGAGCTCTTTTCATCTTTTTTAAACTGATGAAAGCCATGCCAGCGAGAGCTCGGCACTGATTTTTTTGATGGGAACTGTGGGGGCTTGGCAGTGCCGAGTGTCGCCCCTGGTCCTGCGGCCCCGGGGGCAGAGATCTCCCCCTTCTTGTGGTTTATCTAAGCCCTGCTATCTGATGCAACAGAACGCTGAGGTGGGACTTGCCCCTGTCTGTCTGTTTGTTTGTGTCAGACACTTGTTCCCCGCTTATCTCCTCCATCAAAACAGGTTACACCAAGCAGAGCTACTTCCCTTTGATTTCATCTGTTGAGGCTATGGGGGGGAAGCCAAAGCTTTTACAAAAAGGGCGATAGGGAAGCGCTTCAAACACAACCACGGGGAAGGGAATAGCTGCAGGCACCGCCAGCATCTGCCCTCCCCACCCTGGAACCCGCGGAGCTGGGCACTGCCAGCAGCCCAGGGTGGGCACCCCAGCTCCAGGGGGATGTGGGGTGCCCCATGGGACAGCCCTGTGGAGAGGGTTTGGGCGGCTCCTGGGATGGGGAGGTTGGCTGAGCCAAGGGAAGTTTAGGTTGGATGTCAGGAAGAAGTTTTTTACAGAAAGGGTGATAAAGTGTTGGAATGGTCTGCCCGGGGAGGTGGTGGAGTCACCATCCCTGGATGTGTGTAAAACAGACTGGATGTGGCACTCGGTGCTGTGGTTTAGTTGAGGTTTTTGGGCTGGGTTGGACTCGATCTTGAAGGTCTTTTCCAACCTGGTGATTCCATAATTCTATGGTTCTGTGATTCCATGGTTCTGTGATTCCATGGTTCTGTGATTCCATGATTCCGTGATTCCGTGATTCCATGGTTCTGTGATTCCATGATTCCATGATTCTGTGATTTCATGGTTCTGTGATTCCATGATTCTGTGATTCCGTGATTCCATGGTTCTGTGATTCCATGATTCCATGGTTCTGTGATTCCATGGTTCTGTGATTCCATGATTCCATGGTTCTGTGATTCCATGGTTCTGTGATTCCATGATTCCATGGTTCTGTGATTCCATGATTCCATGGTTCTGTGATTCCATGATTCCATGATTCCGTGATTCCATGATTCCATGATTCCGTGATTCCATGGTTCTGTGATTCCATGATTCCGTGATTCCATGATTCCGTGATTCCATGATTCTGTGATTCCATGATTCCATGATTCCGTGATTCCATGATTCCATGATTCCGTGATTCCATGGTTCTGTGATTCCATGATTCCGTGATTCCATGATTCCGTGATTCCATGATTCCGTGATTCCATGATTCCATGATTCCGTGATTCCATGATTCCATGATTCCGTGATTCCATGGTTCTGTGATTCCATGGTTCTGTGATTCCATGATTCCGTGATTCCATGATTCCGTGATTCCGTGATTCCGTGATTCCATGATTCCGTGATTCCATGATTCCATGATTCCGTGATTCTGTGATTCCATGGCTGAGCCTGGGAGCTGCAGGAGGAGCGATGGGGACAGAAGGCTGGCTGGCTTGGTGGAGCTCTGGGCTCGTGGTGGCCGTGGGAGCAGGGTTATCTCACCCTCACAGCTCAGGTAACTTTTCTGAGTGCTTTAGGATCCGGACCAGGGAGGGACCCACAGGATCATCCAGGGCAGCTCCTGGCCCTGCTCAGACACCCCCAAATCCCTGGCAGCGCTGTCCAAAGGCTCCTGGAGCTCTGGCAGCCTCGGGGCCGTGCCCATTCCCTGGAGAGCCTGGGCAGTGCCAACACCCTCGGGGGGAAGAACCTTTCCCTGAGATCCATCCCAAATTCCCCTGGCCCAGCTCCAGCCGTTCCCTGGGTCACAGAGAGCAGAATCAGAGCTGGCCCTCAGCCACGTGTCACTTCT